GTATAATCCCTGTCATTAATGTTTTTAGATACAAGTCAGAGGGACTGCCATATACAATTATCAAGACAATTGTAGTCTTTCTTCAAAGTTAGGAGATGGACCAGATGAATGATTTGTAGTAGGTGGCTGAGATCCCTGGAACCATGACAGAGCATACAAGTTATTACAAGGTAATCTATAACAGGTTTTCTCTAAGAAAGCATTTGAAAATTCCACGTGTGGTCCTGGCCATATTCATTAACCATTATAGAAGATTGTACAGTTTGTTCTCTGGACTTCTTTTTCCAAAAAGCTTGTTTTCCTTTGATTTTGTGTTGTGGGGGTTTTTTTGTTTGGGGGGGGTTTTTTTGTTGTTTTTTTTTTATTTTACCTCTGGAAGGTTAAGTACATCTTTGATTAAAAATATTGAGGAGTAACAGACTACATGACCCCTTGAGATCCCCCACAAGTCTAAATTTCTATGATTCATGTGCAATCTAGAGTATTTTTTCTGAGTTGTTGAAGAGCTTTGCAAGCACAAGTTAATAATTAAACTAGTTCTTTTCCCTGGGCAGTAATGACCTAATCATTTATGATAGCGTGCAAATGAGGAATTAAACAAACATATCCAAAATAAACACAGATCAAATCATCTTTGCCAATGGAAAAGGACGAAATCTTGTTTTCATGCCAGTGGGTCTGCAAAACAGCAGCACAGATACAGACTTCAGTAAAACTAACAAGTCAGGATTTCTCAATCTGTGAGAAATTCTGAATTTTAGTAATTGTTTTTATTCAAAATTTTAGGATTTTTTCTAATTTGGAAAATGAGAAGAATGGGAATGAGAAAAAATGTAAGTGTTTTGGAAAGGTTGGAAAGTCTTGAGGGCTTGAATTACAACTGAACATTTCAACATTCAAAAACCAAAATGTTGCAGTAATGGTGTACCACATGTACATCTTAGGTAGGGAAGCACAGTGAACATTATAGGAGCCACAGTCCTCCAGGGACCGTAGTATACACAAGAAAGTGCCAACCAGAATTACAGTGCAAACAATGTAGCATTCTGCAATAGGCTATTTTTAGTGTTAGCTCAAAATAAATCTTTTTAAAATCATACTCCCAAAGGAAAACTGAGCAAAACCAAGTTTTTCAGAAAATGTGCTCTTTGTTAGAAATTCAAACTTGTGTAAAACTTCTGGCAAACTCTAGTCACTACTTCATATAAAAAAAACCCCTGTCTCAAAAATGTTTTCTAGAGAAATATGTGCTCATCACAGTGCACCATGGTGTTGACCAAAATATGACTGTAAACACTGGAAGTGTTTGCAGTCACCACTGTTATTTTAGTCTAGTAAAAGATGGTCATAAACCTCAAAGATAAGATCAAGGTCTGGCCCAAATATGACTTTCCAGAAATTCAGAAATATTTATGTTTGGTGTTTATTGATCAGTCCAGACTTCAGTGAATGTCTGCTGGGCCTTTTGTTCTTTTGAAAATATACATGACTTTTAGACATGAGAATAATGACTCCATACTGCACGAGAACCTTCTCTCTTATAAACAAACGCTGGAGCTTGTGAATTTTGCTGTGCAAATGGGTGTCAAGGACAGCCTCAATTGCAAAGTGCAGAGGGACAATTAGACCCAAGCGAACAAATCTCAGCCTAGCTGAGCTTGCTTAGGGCAGCCCCAGTGAGGTCGTTCCGTTGCTGGGACCCGTAAACCCGAAGGTGGACTCTGGTTTGTAGGGCAGGGTGTTGCGTACGGCCCCATGGCACACGCCAACAGCCTCAAGTGTCTTAAGCAGCTTAAATAGCTTTAAGCAGCTTTGAAGACTTAGACACTTTAAGCTTATAAAGCGGTTTAAGCCGCTTAAACTGCTCTAGGATTTTAACAAGGGCCCCACGATGCTGCTCCTCGCCGGGCGAGTGAAACGCAGCGGGCTGCGCGCTGCGGCTCCTCGCCATCGGCTGGAAGGAAGGAGCTGAGGGGTCACCACGGATCTGGCCAGGAGTTTGCGCAAAGGCAAACAACTGGTATTGACGTATTTTGGCAATGACGTTGTCTAAAATAACGAAAAGTATACTTTCTCTCCTTGTTCCTCCTCTTTTGTAGCCACTTCCCCGCCCCAGCCACCACCTTCTCTTTTTTCTATTTTCACCCATTTTGCTCAGGCTCTTTCCAGTATCTATTTCTTCTCTAATTAATTCTTCCTAAAGAGATTAGTGGAGTGCTCTTATTGCAGTGATACACTTTTGTGAATAAAACATGTCTCAATTCAGCTTATTCAGTCCACAGAACCGTGCTGGGGGCAACCATTCATTTGTATCATTGTGGTTTAACCTAAATCTAGAACTTTTTTTTCTCAAGAGAAGGGCATGAGTTGACAGAAGCATTGTGGAAAAAACCCAACTGCATAATCCCAGAAAGTACCAGTGGCAGCCATTAGATTATCATCTACAAAAGCAGTAAACCAGATGGGCTAGCATTGTTCAGAAGAAGGAATACAGCGCACCAAATCTGCATCGCATTTCCTGGCATTTTGAGGTTTCAGAAAAGAGGTAGGAGGAGGAATTCTGGGGACAGCTGTCCAGAGAAATGGGCAAATGTGTCTTCCTACATTGGTGTGCTGGTTTTGGCTGCAGTAGAGTTAATTTTCTTCCCAGTAGCTAGTATGGGGCTGTGTTTTGGATTTGTGCTGAAAACAGTGTTGGTCATTCAGGGATGTTTTCGCTCCTGCTGAGCAGTGCTCACCCAGAGCCAAGGGCTTTTCTGCTCCTCACCCCACCCCACCAGCGAGGAGGCTGGGGGGGCACAAGGAGTTGGGAGGGGACACAGCCAGGACAGCTGACCCCAACTGGCCCAAGGGATATCCCAGACCATAGGACGTCATGCTCAGCATAGAAAGCTGGGGAAGAAGAAGGAAGGGGGGACATTCGGAGAGATGGTGTTCGTCTTCCCAAGTTACTGTTACACATGATGGAGCCCTGCTCTCCTGGAGATGGCTGAACACCTGCCTGCCCATGGGAAGTGGGGAATGGATTCCTTGGTTTGCTTTGCTTCTGTGCATGGCTTTTGCTTTACCTGTTAAACTGTCTTTATCTCAGCCCACGAGTTTTCTTGCTTTTACCCATCTGATTCTCTCCCCCATCCCACTGTGGAGAAGGTGAGCGAGCAGCTGTGTGGGGCTTAGTTGCTGGCTGGGGTTAAACCATGACAACTGATAATCTTTTAGGGCTGAGAGGACTTTGTTTTTAGTGTTCACTCAATCTCTCTGCATTTGGGGTGTGCTGCACAAACCACAAGTTGTTCTGTTCTTACCAAAGGATGTAACACCCTCTCACCCTTACATACAGAACAGTGGTGTGCAACTGAGTGGCAGCTCAATTTAGTGACAATAGTCACCATTTACTGACAATTCACTTTGAACTGTGATGTTAATAACGAGAGCTGCAGTGATGATGCACTAGAGCACTTGAGTTGGATGTGAAGTCCTTGCTGCTGAGGATCCACTCAGGCCTACATTATTGCGTTTTTCTCATGTTTGAATTCCCTTTCAAGTTCCTTTAGTAGGAACATTCTGCTCTTCTCTTTCATATCCTTCACTCATCTCCTGGGGTCATATCCTGACTTCTCAGGTGTCCTCTCTCCAGAGTCCTCAGCTTAACTGGCCCCATATTTTTCACAGGCTTACGGAGTCCCACCACATGCGACTTTGTGTATATCACACACTGTAATTACAACCTAGCTGCGAAACATAACTGTAAAACTTATCATACTCAAACAATGTGTTCTAAAGACTTGAGGGTGTAAGCAGAAAGAGGGATCATGGTCAGCCTTACTCACTGCTCTATTTTTTGCCAATTATCTGTGTTACGCATTCCTAAATAATGTTGCATATCACCATAGTGTGTATTGCGTGCACAGCATGTCCGATGTGGCATCACTTAACACTTTTGTTGAGGCTTGATTTATACCAAATGCTATTTTTTTTCCAGCAGCCTGAAAGCACGTTTGTCTCCATTTTTATTGAAGAAAACTATTTCTAGCATGATCTATTCTTTTCAAGTCATCAATGCATTTTAATCCCTTTTTCCTTTTATCCAGCTATCAATTATTACTTCCTTCAAAATGTGTTCTAAAACTCTACATGTGATGCCAGTAGGATTTACTAGCTTGTAAGTGATTGAATCATTTCTGTTTCTTAAATATTGCTTTGATATGCTCCCATAAGGTGACACCAGTGGTAGTTAACAGATTTATTCGTAGTGGAGTATCAGAACCATTGCAGCATGGTTTCCTTGGGTTCACACCTTGTGTCTACAACATCCTCCTGGTAGCCCCAGCTCCTTCTCAAGCTCCAGCCAGTTCGGCAGGAGAAAGGGCAGGTTGTCTGGGCTGCCCGTGGGCTTTGTTGTCTGTGGGACAGTGTTAGCTGCTCAGTGTCCGGGCAGCTCTCAGGCTGGAGATGAATGTGAGATGCACCTGCCATTCCCTCAGCTCCGACAGTGATTTGGGACCTGCTCTCCTCTAGGCAGCTGCTCATTTGCATCAATGATTAATGATGGGAATTAATGAGGTTAATTAAGGTTAACGATGAGCATGGAAAAGTCATCTTTTTTGAATTCTGAAAAGCTATATGTAGTCACCTATTCATAGCTTGTGCACTTTCTTTCAAATATTTTTCTTTACATCTGAGAAGAAAAAGGTCCTTTTAGTGTTACAAGAGAGTTTGGGTAGTTTCAGATCTGAAGGATTTTTTTAACATTTGTAAACCAGAAAACATGCAACACCAGGCATCAGGTCATGTATACAGGCTGCAGTTCGGCAGACATTTATGCATGTTCCCAGTTTTCAGTTGGAACTCGATTTCCTTTGGCTTCCAGGAAACTTCAGTGTATGTTAACATTAACCCTGCTGATCTGAGGCGATGGCAGCGCTGCATGTTTGCGTGCATTGATAAACAACTGCGCATACACCAAAAAAATGTCGTTGACTGCGTTGAGCCTACTGAGGCCACACATCTGTAATGATCCATCAGTAGAAAAAAAAAAAATTTCGGAGCTGCTGTTGGACTAAATCACCAAGTGCTGGCAAGCTGCCGGGGTCCTGTTGCTGGGAAGATCACCAGGTGTTGGCCCGTCACTGACAGCCACTGCTCCATTACCAGCTGCTCACACAGCAAAAACCTACGGGACGGCAGAATCACCCTTCCTTCCTTCTCCAAACTCAAGACAACTGTCTCCTTGATGAGGCCGTGGGATTATAGCTGACCTCACTACAGGACAGCATGGGGCTTCATAAGACAAATTGCCACTTTTTCTCAGCCCTCCAACTTCTTCAGCGTCTTCTCCCAAACCTTGACATTCCCACTATTGTTTAATTTTTTTTAATAATCTTGTTTATCTGAAAAAAACTAATAGTTTATTTCAACTTTGAAAAATTACTTTCCTTTACATTTGTTCCTAGGTTTTTTTTTTTCTTTTTCCCTTTCTTCAGCTTCAGCGGCTAGCTTCTTTGGCCAATGGATGATACAGTGAATTGCCTGAATCTATGACGTGTCCGTGAATACCATTTCCCTAGATTGTAACACCAGCCCAATTCTTTGGCTCTGCTGGAAGCTATCCTAAGAGGTGGGTAGAGTTTAAGATTTTAGGAAGAAAGCCAGTGTTTGCACTCTACCAATACTAATTTCACGCATTCCCTCTTGCATTCTTGATTCTGTAATTGGGCTGCGCTTCCATCTCCACCCATATCCTGCCTTGACACACATCCGTGTGCAGATGACGGGGGAATGATGGGTGAGCCAGCCAGCCTGCAGGCTGAGTCACTCCAGGAAGGCAGACCGTCAGCTGGCAATTAGGATGGAGAAGAAGAAAGCGTGCCAGCAAAACAGGTGAGCTGAGCAATGCATTGCACCCCACATGCCAAATTGGATATTGCATAATGCTGTGCTATGACAGAGAAGTGTGGAGAAGAGCACAAGCATGCATTTCCAAAATGGCCTTCAAAGTAGGAATTAAAGAAATACCAAAACTCAGCCTATTTCTTTCATGGACCACCTTAATACTGAAGGTGAATAAAAAAATCAAGAAATGGATAGAGCAGTGGTATTGTATAACCCTTTCAGCATTTTCGGTCACTTTTATTTGGGTGTCTTTTCCTGTGCACTTAGGCTTAAAAGCAGGGTCACAAACACAATTTATGAGTATGCAACAATTATGCTATTTGTTGGATTGTACGCGCAATAAATAGCTGGGGCTAACGTGCTATTAGCCTAAGCACTAATGTCCTCACCGCCTCTGATGCAGGTACCCACTGGGTTTCTGCTGGTCAGGCAGATGGTAATCACATGGGGAAGTGCCAGTCTCCATTGCTCCTTGCAATGGGCTGATCCTCAGTTTTGCCAAGTTGCTATCTTCTATTTTGATTTTTTTTTCTCAGAGTTTTAGAGCTTTTCCAGTCCATGTTTTTTCCTTCAGTTCTTGAGTGACTGCTACCGACTCAACAATTTCACTTCTGTCCTCATTTCTGCTTTTTTTTTATATCTTGCTTGGCTTATGTGCTGTCACTCATAGCTTAGCAACTTTTTTTTTTATTTGTAAAGCTGAGCTGGGGTCATATGGCCGCCCTAGGCCTTGTCTTAAAATAGTAAGAGTGTGTGAAAGATCTACCAAAATGTGGGAGAGAGACTGATCTGTGCTTGTTGTCTGACATATTTCTAAGCACCTTGCTGCTTAAAAGTGTGGATCTTGCCAGATGGCAAAAAGACTCCGAGAAATAGATACTGACACGAACACCACCTGGGGCCAGATGTGCTACGTAACTGGTGGTATCAGTGATGGTCTTTGTAATGCCAAGCAGAAAAGTCTGGGAAGGATGGACTTTCAAAGGGAAAATGACTTTGAAGTCAGTGATATGAAGCTGAAAATGAAACAGTGCTGCATGATATTCTGACTTTAACCATGCACAGATTTATAAGAAAAAAACCCCATCACTGTGAGGATAATTAATCACTGGCACAGGTTGCTCAGAGAGGTTTGGCAGTCTCCATCCTTGGAGTTTTCCCAGACATGACTGGATAAAACCCTGAGCAGCCTGGGCTGAGCTCAGCATTGACCCTGCATTGAGTGAGGTGGATGGGCTAGGGAACTTCTGAATCCCCTTCCAGCTTGGATCATTTGATGATTCTGTGATTTAAGTTACTGTTGGAGCCAAGGGTAGGTGAGGTGGAGAAACGGTGTTACAAAGGGAGAATGCTCAGCACGGTATTTCCCAGTATGACTGAGTCTCTGTAAAACTTAGCTGCTGCCATCTGTGCAAGGTGATCCCGTCTCCCTCCAGGTCCTGTCCTGGTGTTCCCAGGCTCTCTCTCGAGCTAGTGCTGGCCCTTGTCCAACATCTCTGTGAGCTGTTTCAGCTCACCGACCTGGCAGAAGCTGATGAGTTTTTTTAAACTGGTTGGCTTTCTGCTGATTTAGTTAGCTGAACTATTTCACGAAGAGACAGATGAGCACCACAGCGTGAGGAGGAGGTGGGAACATGTGGTTAAGATTGGAAGGAGTTAAGGTTGGGCAGGGCCCTCTCAGTGGGAGTGAGCCATTAAAGTTGCCTTGCTGGCTCATGAAACAATGTGATAATCTGCAGCAGCTTCAATATGGGCATGACAACAAATTGGGTAAGCCCAAAAAGGAGGCATCGTAAAGAAAATAAAAACTCAGAAATAAAAATTCTTCAATGTTAAGACTGATGAAAAGTGTGGAATTACAAAAAGGAACCTGAAAGCTGACAAATCAATGAAAAATAATGTTCAATGACAGATGAACAGAGATATATTAAAGACCTAACACTTGAAACTGAAGCTGCTGCCATGGTAGGAAACCACAGATCTTGTTTACCAAGTTACAAAAATCCTGTGTGGCTAGTTTAAACAGGAAATGGGCTGATCAGGAGCAAAGATAGAGAAATGCATACAACAGAGATAAAATAGATGGGCAAAGCATTTTAAAGAAGTCAGTGGCAAAAACTCAGCCCTACCCTGACATGAGATTCTGTGACACCAGATGATGTGACTTCAAACAACAGGAGACTGCCACTGGCTCAGTAATGATATCAGAAAAGCAAGTTGTAGTCCAGTAGGCAGCAGCAACAATGCAATGAAAGACAATGTGATCGTAGCAGAAATGCTAAGAGCCCACAATGTCACTGCAGAAGTAAAATTTAATAAGTTGTTGAATAAAATCTGGGAAAAATACAACTTTTGATGGGGGGGAACATGGAGTTGTTAAAATATTTAAAAATGAGACTGCAAAAGTGTCTCTCTGCCCTATGCTATAGGGGAGTTCATTTGCAGTGGAATGCCGCACATGACACAGATGATGGATGTAGAATTGGAAGAGAACAGCCTCTGGACTCAGGCCCAGAAAACTGGATATTCATACAAAAGAGCATCCTGAAAGAACACATGCAATGACAGGCTTTGCTCATCATCGGTTTCACTGATTTTTTTTTAAGACTACTTGACAGCGGCCTCGGGAACACCTTGTGGAACTAGAGCACTCAGCTCATCCTCCATCATTACAGCCTTGCAGAGAGGGATGGATGGCTGCATCTGGGAATGCATCTGAGTAATAGACTGGTTCACTTTGAACCAGTGTTCAAAGGGTGTAAAACAAGGGTACTTGCTTTCTGTTGCTGTTTTGCATTATCATACATAGCTACTGTGTAGGCAACAAAAGTAGCAGCATACCATGGGGTGGATTACACATATCTTGGAAGCGTATATTGCGCTAGTAGCATTGTGTTACTGAGCCATAGACCTGAAAAAAGCTGTGAAGATACATAACCTAGCAAAAAAAGTAAGCCAAACAGGATTCAAAATCAGCTATCAAAGCAAACATCCTTGAAAGCTTAATACCAAGCATCAAAGTCATGTTAGAAAACACAAATTCTGGGAAAGTAGAACAGCTTGCCTGTCCTGTCCAAATCCCACTTCTGAGTAATTAGGAAGGAAATGACAGCAAGGCTGGGAGAGTCTTCCACCATTCATACTCATTTCAGCATATGGAAATCCAAGATATTCAGTCCCAGAACGAAAACAAGATTTTTAAAAATTATTATAACTATGTAATTACAATGCTAAAATAGACCCTGGAAAAGTAGAGACATCAAAGGTGCTAGAAAACTAGATGCCCTGAAAGAAAAATTGCCTACGAAAAAGTCTGAACTTTGGGCTCTATCCTCAGCATCGTGTTGAAGAGCTCACAAGCTCATCTTTCACTAGAGCTAGCAGGGAGCACAGGATGTGTTTGGTGTGCGTTCGCTGAATGGGAGCTCCCAAGAATCCTCCACAAAGTGATCCAGTGGAGACCAGCGTGTGTGAAGAAGAGGATGCTCATTAGAGATCTTAAGAAGACCCACCTCACAGGAATGACAGTGATCAATCCCAACCGTGTCTACTAGAAACACCAATGAATGACAGAGAGGAATGGAAGACGCTAGCTTCCACTTCATGTCCCAGCCTTGCTATTGGAAGGAGACAGTAAGAATAATGTAAGGGCTACTAGAGAATCAAATATCTTCCCCATAATTGCTTTGTTTTCTCTGTAAAGCAAAACTTGTGTTAGCTAGCTTATTTTATTAGCTGCCACTGGAGGAAATAATCGTGAACCTTATGAAGGGGAGGAAAATAAAGCTCTTGCTCCAGAGATGCAGAAAGTAGCTGATGTCCAGACTACAGCACTCTGCCAAATGCTTCAAGGAGCCGGGGGCCTGTTGCCAGGGCACTGCCGTGTGATTGCTGCAGTCATGATAGACTGGGGAGAAAGTCCACGCCAAGAAGAGCTGGCAGGTGTGGGACTCAGGTAGTCAGGCCACAGTGGAAATTACATGATCCCTGATTAAAGGGGTTTTGCCTTTCATGTATCTTCAAAGGTATCTGGAGCCTACTGGCGTCATAAGCAACAATGGTTTATTTTTTATTACCTAGACTGAATGAGAGATCTTTAATCAAACTATGTTGCATTAGAGACAGTTCTGCTCTTTAACCATAAATATTTGGGTGTGCAATCTGGTGTTGATCTGCAAGGTTACTAATATCTATAAACTAAGTAGTCCTTTTTTATTTGATTGATCTACAAAGTTGTTTCAGCTTCAGCTTGTTAAGTTTGGGCTTAGATCTGAGTGTGCTTTTTGAGGTTTTGCCATTGATGTAAGAGGGGCCACAGACTCCTGTTACATTGAGTACATTCAGAATATATCGTCTCTGCTACAATTCCCAGCCATTTTCTTAGCCAAGTTTTAACACAAAACCACTATTTCTATGCTTTTTTAAAAAGTAAAAAGTCTGCAGTCTGTTCTGAGCTTTCTTCTACTTTTCTCATCAAATCAGACCCACACATAGCCCAGATTCCTCAATGGTATCTGGTGAAATTTTTCCACCTTCTTGTGCTATATATATTCCTGTGTCCTGAGCAGCAGCATGTGTCTGTGTCTTGAGTACAGATCACAGAGGTTTAACCTCATTTCCAAAATGAGATTGTTCTTATTCTCCAAGTTAAACAACTAAAAATATTTATATATATATTTTGTTTTTTAATTTGGGAGTCTGCCCACCAAAGCCCATATGTATTTATACGTATATAGCAGTTGAAGTTAAGAGCCTTATTCAGGACAGGCTCTTAAATGTGTGCCTTCTTTTTAAGCACTTACTGAAGATAAGTTTGGTATGCATTTACAGGCTTTTCTGAATGGGGCTGCATTGAAGAACAGGTTTGTTTTCCGGAATCAAAACCTTGACTGAAATGTCACTGCCTGGATCACTTGCTGCTGGCAAGGCTGACAGCAGCAAGGGGATATAAACCGTAGCTCACGCTTGCCTCACCAGTAATATAAGCATGCACTGTACACATTGTATGTAATCATGCAACTGTTCCTCAAGTGAGATCACGCTGTAAAGTATCCTGCCTTTGTGCAGTGGAAGCATCAAGATGAAGGCCATGGGTCCCAGAACACAGCCATGACGAAGCGATAGCTAAGTTATGACATTCAATTTTGTTATATAATTAGAGCATTCAATTATAGACTGGAAGACATACTTACACCGTATTAGAATATTCTCTGCTGTGAATGAGGTTGGGCTAATTCCCTAACAGGCCAGGCAGCGGTAAGAGGTGGAGATAAGCTCCCAGCACTGGCAGGGGACAAAATTAAACAAGTGGCATGCTTGCCTGCCTTGCCCTGCCAGCTCCGTGCCCTGGTCCTACGGCCATGACCGCTGGCTCCGCACCCAGAACAACGGGGCGACGTACGCTTTTTGCTATTAGCTGCTAATAAACGATTTCTCCTTTGCGTTCCCGCTGCAGCTCTGCTCTTGTGCAGGCTATCGGTTGGGTGGAGCAGCCGCAAGCCTTAAGAACAGCTAAGACTCATCAACAAGGTCAGTAATTTTCTTGGATTAATATTGGATTATTTTCATCTCTATGAAAACAATGACTTTTGATACGAGACTTTGTCTCTCTAGGCTGATCTGGCAGGTTCAGCCATAGCTCACATAAGCTGGAACATTAAGGCTTGTTTCGAAGAGAGGGGGAATGTGAGCCAAGGTACAAACATGGGCCCCTATTTTCCTTTGGAAAGTGTGATTAGCTTGTCATTTTCCTCTTAGGCAGTGTTAGGCTACTCCCCTGAGTGAGCAAAGGGTCCTTTATATTTTGTAGATATTTAGGGAAATTACCTTGGCATTATTGTTCCATAAGTCACTTTCAAAATATTCTAGATACCACACAGGGATGGAAAGACAGTCTGTGACCAGAGCGCACAGCCTAGAAACAACCGAGATTAAATGTGAGGGCAGCAGGCACAATGTACAAAACAGATAAATCAGGATGACTGCATAGTTGCATTCTTGTTTTTCCACTGTACTAACTCACAGAGAGCACAAAATAAGCCTGTGTAGCAAAGACATACAAAAAAAGACATACTGGAAGAAATATTTATGTTGTATTAGCATACTCTCTGCTCTAAATGAGTTTGGGCTAATTACTTAGCAGGCCACACCGGGGTAAGAGGGGGAGATAAGCTCCTAATATCACATTCAGAAAAATTAATTAAAGAGAATAAACATAATTTATTTGATTCTACTATTTCCTGTTTCCGTTGCTTGACTTAGCAATTTCGGTAGTGTTCTTTAACAAATTATTTGTTTATTTTCTTAAACAGAAAAAAGGATAGAAAAATGAAAACAAGCTGGAAAGAGATGAATTTCACCATGATATACCTCATTTTCCTCAGCAGACTGAGAACTGCAGAATTAGCACAGATTTCTGCTACTTGAGCTAATGGAGTGCCACTACCAGTCACAGGTTGTCATCCTCTGAGTAAAACACTTCCAGAAGAGGCTCGCTGATGGGCACTGATGAGAAACACGAAGTGAGGATTTGCTTCTCAGCTGGGGTGACAAGTAATCAGGTAGATGTGTACTCCAGATGTAAGCTAACCTGCTGTGTCTCCTTCGGCTGCTCACCATCCTTGTCCTTTGCCTTTCCCACTTCATCCCAGACTCGGTCTCCTCCTACAGCAAGTCACTGTGGATCCCAGCTCCTGATCTCCCAATCTGATTACCTCTTTGCTCATTCCCAGTATGACATTCTTTGCTCCCATTCTACTTGGCTGGACCACCCTAACTCCCCGACCACTCCTCCTGACCGTGTTCCTCATCTAGCACAGCTCTGGGATCCAGTATATCTGTCTGAGATTTTCTCCATGGTGCATTTGAACAACTCCATCCTCTGTACTCTTGAGTTGAACAACAGGCCTGCTGGGACCAGAGGAAGGCAGAGCCCTGCTTTCCATTTGGGTGCCTAGACCTCTTACAGCTCATGCTAGCAGATGCCTATCCATAGCAAATGGGACCTTAGGAAAGTTTGCTGTCAAAATCAAAGTCATCTTTATCAAAAAAGTGCACCATGACTTTTCATACACTTATTTCATGAGTGTCCTAGTTTCAGCTGAGGTAGAGTTAATCATCTTCCTAGTAGCTGCTATGTTTTTGAGTTTGGTATGAGAAGAATGTTGATAACACTGATGTTTTCAGTTGTTGCTAAGTAATATTTATTCTGAAGTCAAGGATTTTTCAGCCTCTCATGCCCAGCCAGCAAGAAGGCTGGAGTGGCACAAGAAGTTGGGAGGGGACACAGCCAGGACAGCTGACCCAAACTGGCCAAAGGGGTATTCCATACCATGGGACATCATGTCTAGTATATAAACTGGGGGGGAGTGGGGGGATCACCACTCGGGGTCTAACTCAGCATCGGTCAGCGGGTGGCGAGCAATTGCATTGTGCATCACTTGTATATTCCAATCCATTTATTATTACTATTGTCATTTTATTAGTGTTATCATTATCATTATTATTTTCTTCCTTTCTGTCCTATTAAACTGTCTTTATCTCAACCCATCAGTTTTACTTCTTTTCCCAATTCTCCCCCATCCCAGTGGGATGGGGGGGAAGTGAGTGAGCAGCTGCATGGGGCTCAGTTGCTGGCTGGGGTTAAACCTTGACAATGAGGATAAAAACAACACGTCCCTGACACAAACGCTATCTTCTAAGTCCTTGCACCAAACTTGTGAGATGTAGGCTTTGTCACAGAAGACACCAGAATTTTTAAGCACAGCACATTTTCCCCTACAGCCTGTCAGACACATCAGACATGTCTGGATTGTTTTACACTAGTTCCCCTTGAGAATGTGTGTCAAGTAAAAACTCCTGAATTATACAATTTCATATTGTTTAGATAGGACAACAGGGTTGATACATTTAATCTCATAAAAAGCATTCTAATATCTTTAATGACCACTATACAGACTTTCATTCCTTAGAGAAGATAAGCAATGCCCTTGCAAATAAGAAAAATTAGATCCTGCTGTGCCAAGGCCTATGCTCTAAATAGTTCAAGGTGACCAGTGTACAGCTCAGCCTGTTACATAAAATAATTTGCAAAGGTCAGTAAAAATTAAAGAGAAAATGACAGTTTTTTCAAGAAAAAAAAGACCCAGTGATAAGCCCCAAGGACTATGCTGAAAGCATGTCTAGTAAAGAAGGAAAGTGCGAGACTAGACTCAGTGGGACAAAATTGATATATCGTAGAGTAAGCCTCGCTGATGAACAAAATTATGAGTGGATGGGCTATTCTGCCTCTCTGGTGCCCCTAACCTTGTGAAGGAGGAATTCAGGTGACCTCGCACTCTACTTGCATTGCCTAAATCCTGAACAACACCTGGAACGAGACTGTCATAGCCCCCTGGTTTGTGCTTTTCCTTCCCTCCTTTGTTCTTTCCTTTTCCATATGTGTTTTCCTTTGTTTTCTGTTTAAGAAGAATCTCCTTGAGATGTTAAAGCTACGTCCTTTGTAGAGCTGCCACGATGTTGTTAATAGACAGCTTCCAAAAAGCTGTGTTAGAGACAGCAGGGCACGGCTGCCATGTCCATGTTTCCGTGTGACCAACAAACAATATGCCGTGCTGGAGTTTTCCTAGCAATGAACTTGCTATTCAGAGCCAACACCAGGGTGAGAGGCTGAGTTCCCTTCCCCTGCAGCTCTTGTGCCGTCTTTGTCCCTTGTTCCGATTGCCTGTCTCTCCGGGGAAGGACTGGGCTCTGACAACAGCTCCAGTAGCAGATCCAGCCCATCTCAGTGAACTGAATAACTCTCTTTTCTAAAATAAAAACAACAATAAATCGTGTGTCTTACTGTCTCTTTAAGCCTGTTAAACAATGGTGGTTTTCCTCGTAGAGATTCTTAGCAGCAAATGGAAATTGGAGATTTTTAAAATGAAAGCCTTACTTTTCTGCATTGCAAATTCCCCCCCACTCCGCCCCGCTTATTTTTTCTATCTTTAATAAATGGTTTAAAAGATTTGGTGTGGTTCATGTTGCCACGGGAATAAACAATGCTAAGATTTATGCATCTGGAACCTCAAACCCTATCCCAAAACATGTTTAGCAATATAGTTTTGTTACACTGACACAGTACCTTTAATACATTTGACCCTCTGGGTCTATTTATTTTACTGAAATTTGACTCAGCAAAGTTAAATCCCCTTATATCATTCTGCAAGACAACTCATTTTATGTCTGGATACAAACCAATTCACCTCCTAAGCCGCATAATCAACTCCCGCCCTAACGTGCCAGTTAGCACTAGTGCAGTTGAATGGAAGAAGAAATTGTGATGGTTTTCCAGAAATGCACTTAATTTCTATGGCATGCTCGGTGAGTATCAGAACAATAAATGGTGTATTGACTACTATGTCTACCGACATTCTTTCTCCTTGGCTTACGTAATATTTTTTGTGTAAGGGGATGGCAGCCTACTCTCATCGTATTAAGCAAAATTCTTGAATGGACACCATGAAGTAACCCTTTTGTTTTAGCTTGTTTTTACTTGGTATTTGGGAAACTGTCTGTAATGACAAGCTCTGGAACAAAATCTAACAGACAGGATATTTTCCATGTTTGAAAGGTTTTGCCATATGATTGCAAGTAAGAAAATTATGGAAACATCTTACTTTCCAATTACTCTATATTATCCAGTCAACATGGTTTGTTCTTCCCTCTTGCTATATAGTCTTGTGTGCAGATTTTATTGTGTCTTTGTTTTATTTTTGTAATTTTATATGTTTATTAACAAGTAAAACAGAGAAATCAGCTGTTTAAGGATGTGCTGGAGTGAACCACTATAGGAAAATTATATTTATTTCCATGTTCAGGCTATGGAAGTCTAGCCAGGGGATACCTCTTTTCACCGAAATGTTGTAAGTCCACTGGAAAAGAACTAAGGGTTGGTCAAATAAGGCTTTTCTTTTCTTTTTTTTTTCCCCCCCTTCTCCCCCATTTTGTGTTAAATATTAGAATCTGGGCAAAACAGCCTATGACCTTAAGCCATAAAGAAGTTCTTTCCCCATTTCAGGGAAATATATTTGAAATGTGTCCAACGTTTTGATTTCCAGGCTCCTGGTCTGGCCAAACAGACCGAGATGTTTCTACCTGGGTTATTATTTTCTTTTCCTCTTCTTTTTATTGAGCTAAACCACGATCCCCATGAATCCCGAGAGGAAGGACCTGTAACCTGACATACAGCAACGTCCTTGACTGCGCAGATTACAGAGCGAGCCCAACAGCGATCAGTATTCTCAGGTTCCAACACATCAGCTCTTACGGTACCCAAAGCATGGTTGGGCATCTGCCTCGTTTCCCTCACACTGCCCAATTACAGCATTTCCAGGCTCCGCCAAGCTGGTGACGGCCACAGGACTGCAGCTTGAAGGGGGAAAGACTGAAATACTGCTTTTATCAAGACCGACGAATGAGAGGTAATCATTGGTTGCTTCTAAGTCTGAATCACCCAATTTTTAGTGGCTTGCAATATCACCAACAGAGTTTCTTTTTTCCTCTACCTTGTTGAAGTGGAAGAGGCCCTTCCTTTTTATTTGAAACATTGGTTTTCTTCTTATATTTCCTCTGAAAGTCCTTAGGCGTTTTTCTTAATATAACCCTGTGCCTCGGCTACAGTGCATTATAGGTAATCGTATAAGAAGAGTGAGGTATATCTGATATGACTACTGCATGGCTCTGATCTGACACAATCTCATCGTAATGCTGTTGGGATGTGATTGCTATATTGCAGTCAGCACGGAGCTGGCACAGCGCTGCTGGGAAAAAGTCCAGGCTGCAACAGAAATGCAGCAAAATTGGGAAGAAGGCAGTCAAGTGTGGCAAAATGTGAGCAAAGGAATGGAAAGACTGAAATGGAAGGGAATATTAACTGTAAATAAATTCAGGGAAAAAATATTGGAGCGTGAAGACTCCTACTGTCTGCAGATACTGGAAATGGAGATACTGACAATGAGAAGAGATTATTTACTTATTTTTTTCTTTTTTTGATAGAAAAGAGTGTATGTAGGAAAAATGAGGCAGGAAAAAAATGCACCTGAAACTGTGAAAGGTGTTGGACTGTGGCATCATATTCCAGTGGCAAAAGTAGGAATCGTTAACTTGAGCTATTTAGCATTCATATCTGGGCAAATCTGTAGAAAATTACAGAACAGAAAAATTCTGCACTGGCCTATTGTATAACCATAAATAATTTAAAGCATCTTCTACCTTGTCTTCTACAATTCAGTGGACAACTTACTGTGCTGTTATGTAGTTTTATCATAGCTATCTCATTTTACCAGAAAATGGTGGGGGTTTTTAAGCTAATGTACATTTTTTTTTAACAACTCCTATTTTGGTTGTTTAATTTTCTCAAGGGAAAAACAGTTGTCTTGTTCATTGCTTGATACTGATACTATTCAGATCTGGTTTTACATTAATCCTTCTCAGTTTGTCACTCACCTGTGATTAATCAAGCAGAAGCTAAGAAATAAAACTATGTATTTTGTAAAGATGAACTAAGATTTCAGTCACTGCGAAACTGTGAGTAGGGACACCAGGACAGACTGTCAGGAAGTCCAATTTGGTCTAGTTGTAGCTACTTCAGTGGAGTTATGCTGAACCATTTTTGCTGATAATCTTGCTGAGTATCCTTGTTATGTTCTTTTTAACACAGTATAATCTCTGTAAGACTAATAACTTGGAATAACTTTGTTTTGGTCGATATCTGAAATGAAAATTATGTCATTAGCTGTGAGTTGTCTCCCAAGACAAAAATGCACCCAATTATGACTTGAAACCAGGAAACAATTTGCAATATTCTCCTTATTTTAATCTGTTACTGGATGACATTAATGAAAAATTAGAAATTACTTCCGAGTTCAAACTTCATTTTAACATTTAGGATATCTGCCTGATGCACATTTTATATGACTTCCAATTACAACAATCTGTGAAACATCTCAGTCTTCAAGGTCCCTCACAACATGCCTGTGGGACAGGAAAATGCAATTTTTGTGCAAATTCAAACAGAGCTATAGACTCAGTAATTTTCCCAGGGAAGTATGTGATGTATATAAAAAAAAGTCAATCCAGTTGTCTTTAATCCCAGAGTATGTCTCTAACGGATGAACCATGACCCTTGATCCTTGCTGAAAAGTCAAATGATA